GGGAGGGGAGGGGAGGGGAGGGGAGGGGAGGGGAGAGGAGAGGAGAGGAGAGGAGAGGAGAGGAGAGGAGAGGAGACGAGACGAGACGAGACGAGACGAGACGAGACGAGACTAAACTAAACCATCAGGGGCTGGAGAGATGGCTCAGTGACTAAGAGCACTTGAGGCTCTTCAAGAGGACCTGAGTTCAGTTCTCAGCACCCACATGGCAGCTCACAACCATCTGTAACTCTAGTCCCATGGGATTCAATGCTCTTTTCTGGCCTCCACAAGTACCAGGCCACTTCTATACATTACACAGATACACATGGAAGCAAAGTGCCCATATATATAAAACAAATTTACTTAAAAATTAAAAACAAAGAAACACGCCAGGCGGTGGTGGCGCACGCCTTTAATCCCAGCACTTGGGAGGCAGAGGCAGGCGGATTTCTGAGTTGGAGGCCAGCCTGGTCTACAGAGTGAGTTCCAGGACAGCCAGGACTACACAGAGAAACCCTGTCTCAAAACAAAACAAAACAAAGAAACACTATGTAGTGTCCTAAAACGAAGGACAGTAAACTTACCCTGACAATGAAGAGCTCAGCACCAAGCTGTGCAGTTTGTTCTGTAGAAAGCTGGAAGCAAGTACAAGATAAAGTAAGTGTTTAAGAATGAACTGGTGTGAGTTTACTATAGCGCACCAGAACAGCCTCCACCGCCAGACTGAAAGCTCAACCTCCAGTTCTGCAACATTTAACACAGTTAACAGGGAGGCTAGCAAAGAAGTGCACTAGCTTTTCTGGCACACGATGTGAGAGGAAGTCACTGTAATGAGAAACAGCTGCCTTTAGGAAATCATTCATCTAAGATCAGGTACCTTGGCAGCCAGGATGGAAATGATAGCAACTGCCATCCTTTGCATGTTCTGATCTTCATGGTTGCAAAGCCACTGCATGACAAGCTTGGCTGCTTCAAACCTGAAAATACAAGAGGGTTTCCTCAATCGTGGAGATCCAGGCATGATTTCAGGGAGCCAGATGTGGGTGTTGGTACAACTTAGTAAATGGAAGCTTCCTCTTAATGAAAAAGACTACAAATCACCTGTTAGGTGTTTTGGAAACGTTGGCTTTCTGGTTTCTTTCCTGTGCTGCGGATTGGACCCAGGGCCTTGTTTAGGCCAGTGCTCTACCACAGAGCTATATTCCTAGCCTTTTATCTTATTTTATTTACTTACATTATTTTTTTATTTTACTTGCTAGTGGTGTGTGTTTGCCTGTGATGTGCACGAGTGTGTGCATGCTATATGATGGCCATCAGAGGACAACGTCTGAGAATGAGTTCAGTCCTTCCTCTGTGGGTTCTAGAGTTTGAATTCAGGTGGTCAGGCTTTTCTGGAAACTTATACCAGTTAAGCCATCTTGCCCGCCCTCATTTGTCTTTTTTGAGATAGACTCTCATGTACCTCAGGCTGTCCCCAATTCTCTATATAGCCAAAGACGAATCTGAAGTGCGGTCTTCTTGCCCCCATCGTCCATGTGCCGGATTACTGGCATTGGCTACCACACCTGGCTCTTTGTTTTTATTTTGACAGAGTCTTGCTAAATTTCCAGGCAGACTTTGACCTTCTGATTCTCCTACTGAGACTCTAGGCCTGCGCCACTGTGCTCATCAAAATGAGAACAATGGTGGAGGCACAGGAGCATGGGGCTGCCGAGAAAGCTCAGCTGCTACAGCACTCGCTGTGCAAGCATGAGGTCCTGAGCTGAATCCCCAGCAACCATTACCAGAGCTCTCCGCATGGCAGCGCATCCCTGCAATCTTAACTCTGGGGAGGCAGAGACAGGAGGATCCCTGGGACTTGATGGCTAGCCAGTCTAGCCCACTCCATGAACTCCAGGTTCAGTGAGAGACCCTGTCTCAGAAAAATAAAGTGAGGAGTGATTGAGGAAGACATACAATGTCAACCTCTGGTTTTCACATTGATAACAGAGGCATGTTGTGCAAACATGTATTAACGCACACACACACACAAATGCACACAAGCACACATAGAAATACTGGCATTTTATCTTCAACAGTGAAAACATTTTAGTATTTCTACATTGCCGTTTTAAGCATAGTCTGTTAAAATCTTTTAAAATCAAATATCTAAATGTGAGTGTGCACAGACAAGCAAACTCTCACACAGCATGCACGTAGACCTTAGAGGACAATCTGAGGGAGTCACCTCTCTCTCTCTCTCTACCATGTGGGTCTTCAGGACTGAACTCAGGTTGCTAAGCTATTACTTGCCTGTTAAATGGAACATCTTGAAGAATCCGGTCACTGCAAAGTGAGAGGAGGCAATTCTTCTGTAACTAAATGATAAAAAGGAGAGAGAGAGAGAGAGAGAGAGAGAGAGAGAGAGAGAGAGAGAGAG